GGGAAGAGCGCAATGATAATACCAACATGGGCCAGTGAAGCGACATCCTCCACAACTAGACTGAAGAACAAAAAGGACAGCAACTTGTCTCTCCCTCCCCCCCCCGATTCCCCAGCACTGTGCCCTCCCCGAATTCCCCAATTAAAAAAAAAAGTGTTAACTCTAGAAATCAATAACAATATCTGTATGCAAAATAATACCCTGGGATATGATAATCAGTTTTGTTGAACTTATGACGAACTTGCAACGACGAAGAGTTCTTGGCCTTCTATGATGCATAAATTTGTTACCAATACATAAAATTTCTTGTATCTTGTATCTAATTCTTGTGTTTTGTAATTGTTACATAAAATTTCTTGTACCATAATATGCTAAAAAATAAATACTAAAATTCCTTTATAATACAAAAAACAAGTACCTAAATGTAAACAAATAAAAATTTGAATTAAAAAATTAAAACGAAAGGTTTTTTTGTCCCTGAACGTTTGGGCCAAAACTGTGGATGCGCATTATACACATGAGCGCATTATACATGGCAAAATACAGTACTTCAATCAATCAGTAAATCAATGATTATGCTATTTTACTATTAAAGACTTGCTATCGCCTTTTGAAAAACCTTACAACTTTTCCTTTAACAGTTGGTTTTGCGTTTTTTCCCTGTTATTTGATAAGAAAAAGTGTTCTTGTAACATTTATGCAACGCAGAAAATCATCCCTCATCTTTGAACACAAAAACAACCCTAACTTAAAAAGGATTCTAAGAAGGAAGTCAACAGCTTTGTTTAGATAACAATGAAGTCCAAAGCAGGGAAACTATGATCCTTGAGCCAAAGCCCGTTTATTTACATATTATCTATGGCTGCTTTGACCCACAAAGGCAAAGTTGAATAGTTGCAACAGATTGTATGTCCAGCAAAGCCAAAAACATTTACTATTGACTTTTTTACAGAAAAAAATTTACCAACCTCTGTTCTAAATAAATACAAAAAAGACATTGAAAAAAACTACAAAGGATGTAGAATATAGCTGCGGCCATTTACAATAGAACGATGTTGCAGGAAACCGGATATATGGAAGAGTGCTCCTGATATATTAAGAAGATTATAATGGGCCCTCGAATGACATCATTTTGTCATTCATTCAGTGTTGTTTTGTTGTAATGTTGATGAGATGCCATAAGAATTTAACTCTTGTTTATATCAATTAGCCTATGGTAAAATTGGTTTCATTATA